TACATACATACATACATACATACATACATACATACATACATACACACACACACACACACACACATACATACATACATACACACACACACACACACATATATATATTCTGGTATAGTAAAAACTCAAACATAGGTAGTTCTTCGGGTTTGAAGAAGGCACACTGTTTTGCACTTCAGCATGGAGGTTGGTAGGTCTGCAATCCCTGGATGGAATCACACATTGTAGTACTGAAAATCCATTGTTGTAATAACTGTGAATGCTATTTTGTGATGCTGTTCATGTTGGTTTTTTAAATCAATTTTTGATGGCACTTGTTTTCAAAGCCAGTGGAGACTTCATAGCACAGGCCTTGCCAGCAACTACAGCTTTAGTTCCCTTAACTGGATGCCACGGTGACAGAAGATCTCCTTCACAGCAAGTAGTTCTTGTGTGGATGATCTTGAGATCTCTTCCCAGTTTCCAATACACCATAGAACAATGGCAAGGCATATGGTGGTAGTCTATTCTGATGATGTGTCCCACCCACCATATCTGGCTTCTGGTAATCAAGGACTTAATGCTGGTGGACTTTGCATGATCCAAAATCTCAATGTCAGAGTTCTGACAGATGCTCTAATTAAATCATGAGCCTTGAGCCAAGCTTCAAAAGAAATCCAGTTACTTATTAGAATCAACATGTCCGCATGTACCCAAGTGAAGCCATCTCTGCCCCCACGTAATTTATGGCCCAATTATGATGCTGTTTCCACCCTCTCCCAGGGTGTGTCATAAATCACATTCTCCAATGGAGCACTTTCCGCAGGCTGTACAGATTATGCCCCTCCCACTGTTGCAGATATCCTGGGAAACAGCCTTGTGAAAAGTATGCATGGAATGTGCTTCTGGTTGTGGCTGCTGTGCTGCACCGTCAGTCCCCCCCCCCCAGCCTATGGCAACTCGAGAGCAAGCCAAGTTGACATTCAAAGTTAGAGACACAATTTTTCTAATGAATGCAAGGAGTCAACTGAGGTCATGCATGCAAATTTTCTCCAGTTATTTGATGCACCATCAGTACAGAGTTCCAGACTCACATCCATATTAGGAGAGAAGGGATAACCACAGCCCTGTAGACTTTCCGCTATGATTGTTGTATTGAGCATTGTCGTATGCAGCCACCACAGAACCTGGCAGCTGGTATCCTTTAGAAGTTTTGGACTTCAGCTTGCATTAGAATCCTCTAGTAAAAAAAGAGGACTGTGGAAGTTGTTTAAAACATCAGGAAGGCACCAGCTTGCTTAGCTACCTTAGAAGAGAAGTGAGATTCCTTTCATAGCAAAGCATTAGAAATGACATACATGTTTAGCATTCCTTTTCTATATGTGTATGCACTTCAAGTCAGTGTTGACCCCTAGTGACTATCTGGACTAGATTCTACAGTTTTCTTGGCAAGATTTCAGAAGTGCTTGGCCTTTACCCCTTTCCAAGCCTGAGAGAGAGTGACTGCCCCAAGATCACTCGATTGGCTTTGTGCCTGAAACAGAGCTAGAACTGAGTTTCCCATTTTCTAGTTTGATGCCTTTAACCATTACATCAGAATGACTTTGTATGGCATTTCTTAGCAGAATCTAAGAGGTTTCTGAGCCTAGCATTCATCTGCTACCTGTGTCATTCTAAAGCAAGAGTAAGTTGTCTATCTCACCCATAAGGCAACTTGCACTACTACATGTTGCTCAAGTGTTTCCAAGTTCATAATTTGGACCTGGCTTGGACATATTTTGCTGGTGATATGGAGGGCTTACTGGCATTTTGTTTTCATTTGCAGGTCTCCATATGTCATCCCTGATTTTTCTCTTTCCTGTTTCTTATGGCAAGTGGTGCCCAGACTCCTGTGCATTTTCAGTGCTAATATGATCAACATTTCTGCCTTCCGAATCCATCGTGTGGAAAGTGCAGGTGAAAGTTCTCATCATGATAGACAATCCATGGAAAGAAGAGTCTCCTATTGTTGGTTCTTCTGGTTCTTCTTTCTCTTTTTTAATACAAAGTAATTCTGTGTTTACGCAGATAATTGCCAAGATCACACCATATACTCCTGGCCTACTTTTGTCCTGGAAGGAGAACCCGCAGTCCTAAAATGTCTACAGTACTTTGATCTGTCCCTTAACCTGACTTGGAATAAAAAAGGTTCATCAACTATTATCCCTGCAGGATTCAAGGGGCCAAGAATAATGTCACAAGATAATATTGTCTGGCTTTTACCAACCATTCTTCAGGACAGTGGGGAATACATCTGCACTCAAAGGTGAGCATACAACTCATGGAGTCATTCAGTTTTACATAGCTTAACTTTGGAAAGAGAGTACATTTAGCCAGGAGTAGGTAAGAGGTTAATGGAAAAGGCACTAGAGTACTAACACAGCACTCACGGTATACTCTTTGGAGGAAAGTTGTTTCTTGTACCACATATCTTATGTATGTTGGATACACTGCTGGGAAATACATTAGTCCACTTTTACTAACACAAAGCTTCACTATTCAATTTAGGATCAAGGAGTAGGACAAAATATATGCAATTAGCATATTTAAATGACCTGATTGATTTTTTTTTTATTCCTGGACTAATGTGAACATAGTTTACCTCAGAATGTGCAGCTTCCCTGAATTTTGTGATATATTTGGTGGTTACCAATTTAAGGGATTAATGATATTCACCTTAAAATTTATCCATAATACCGAAATCATTTCTGAGTTACAAAATTACTGTATAATAACGATTGACAAAAAATCAGATTAGATTTTTTTTTACCATTTTTGTAATATCTACAGGTGAAGAGTTTTAGAGTTTAGAATTTCCAAAACATGATTCAGAAATAAAGCATCATTTCAGTAATTTAGTCAGTGCTGACTATTACTCCATATAATTCTCGATTAATGTATAGACCACATTGAAGAGTGATAAATTACACACACACACACACACATGCATGCGCCACACACACACACAGCTAGTACTTTTATACCTTCCTGTGGGGCAGTCAGTTTCCTCCCATTGCAAGTAGAAAAGCAAAAAGTTTTCACTGGCCGTGAATTTATTCTTAGAGTGCAAAAATGTGAACCATGGGTAACTGGGTGACTTTTGGCCAGACACTTTCTCTCAGCCCAATTCACCTCACAGAGTTGTTGTGGAAAAAAATGTTCACTGTCTTGAGTTACTTGTAAAAATAATAGACGTGGGATATAAATAAACAAAAATAAATAATGGTGGCCCATTACCACACATAGAGTGGAGGATTTTAGAAAGTTTCTTTTTGCATTGGAGAGATTTTGGAAGTTAGGTTTTGCATTTTTATGAGAGCTAAAAATCATTTAAAAAAACACCCTGAAAGACCTACTTGAGATCTGTCTCTAGCTATGTCGTTCAACATGAATACCAATGCAGGTACAACTTTTGATTCTATGAAGTTTCAATTGGGCATATTTATGCCACCATTAAGATTAGGACTATTATTTTCTTTCAGAGAAAATGGTAAGGCTTACTCATGACCTGGGCAATTAGTTGTAAAAAAAATTAGTCTGTGGTTTCACTGACTTCTCATTCTGTTCCAGAAAATCCCCCAAACTCTAAGAAATGGGGTTGAAAGAAGAGCACCAGGATTTGTGTGAACAGGAGTGTTTTCAACAAAATCAGTGAACACAATTTAGTATGTCAGTAGTACTGTCCAGTTTCTGGTATTGTACTGTACTGTATCCTATTAAATGTTGTCTAAAACAATTAAATATGAGTAATAAAGAATGAAAAGCTTCATCTTTGTGTTGAATTCTGCAATTCCTCATTATGAATTTATCTTTTCCCTGCAGGAATTCCTCCTACTGTGCTAAAGTGTCAATACATTTAAAAGTTGTCAAGAGAAATGAAACCAATAATATTTCCTATCCCCAGAAGGCATTTCTGCTTAGTTCCGGAAAGATAGTTTGTCCTAATCTAGAAAACTTTAGGCAAAACAATACCAATTACGAACTCAAGTGGTACAAGGTATTATTTTCAAATCATTTTTAAATTTCTATATGGGGATTTGAACTTGAATTTCCAATATTCAAAATTCACTAATTAAGATTAAAGCATCTATGGTCCTACAGAGCTTACTGGATTGCTGGTTCCATTACTTCTGATCATTATGTTCGGTCTTAAACTCAGGGAACTATACAACTATCAGCTCTATGTTATACATTACAAACTGAATAGGATGAAACTTTCAGTAGTGATCAACTTGTAATCAACTCTGAGTGATAGTCTAAATGAGTTAGATATGTGTGTTATAGCTTCATTTGACTTCTGGAACACTCACATCACCATATGATTGTAATTCAGCAATTTTGTTTTTGAAGCCTGCAATGACCTCATTGCATTGTAGACTTTTTCCCTCTTGCATTTTAAGAAGTTATTGTGTGTGCCCCCCCCCCCAAAGTGCTGACTGTTAAACGACAGCCTTTTCTCCACTACAGTCTTTGAGCATCCTCATAGCATCGTCCAGCCATTGTGGCAGTGATATCAAACCTGTTCTCATAAGTTACTTTAAATCAATGGTGTTTGGGTGATTGTAGAAGATGCTATAAATCACTATTTAAGAAATGACACCTGCCCCCTGCAACCCAAAGGTGGGTTGCTGCCGGCATTACTGCCAGTTTGGTCCGCGTGCAATTTTGCGTGCTCACTTTGCTCATTAATGCGCCTGACACATGCTCCACACGCGTGCACAGTTGCCCATAAATAGGTCTGTGCATGTGCAGAACATTAAAAAATGGGGGGGGGGAAACATGCTGCCCCAACTGGGGAACTGCCATTTCTGGTGACCCAGGCTGGCAAACCATGACCGGTTCGGCTGAACTGGTCCGAACCGGTAGGAACCCACCTCTGGTGCAAACTCAGGTGAGTTGGATATGCTAAAACCTATTTATTAAATATATCTGAAGAAAATATGTCTCTGCATCAGGTAGCCTATATTTCATAATAGTTTATTCTAGGCTTCTTACCCCAATTTGATATTTTAAAAAGTTATTGGCATGCTACAAAACAAAGAACCAGCCATGTGAGAGAAAGCATCTCCTGACATCCATCAAATGCTCTCAAAATCCCAAAGGTTCCCACTGTTGGTAAAAAGTGGCTACTGTTCAATGAAAACAGAAATGGGCCCGACCTTGCTATTATTTTTGAGCCAATTCAAATCTTCGCTCTTTGCCCATATTTTTTAGTTCTCTCATATTTTCTAATTGCCTCCTCATGTTGATTTCAGAGAGTAATTTTTTTTCATTGTATGGCTTTTTGTACGTTTTTGTCTGGATGACTTAATCTTAGTTACTTTCACAACTTTTGACAAAAAACACGTTATAGTTTAAGAAATAAATATCAACCAATCAAACCATATAGATTTAGGTTGCCTGTTTCTTGCTTGGAAAAAGATATTTGATTATTTTGAGCATGTCATCAGGCATTCTTGGGGGGAAAATGGAGGAGATCTCCAAAAGATTGGTGTCACCATGTCAACAATATGATCATTAAACCAATCTGGACATTTTAAATAGTGCAAAATAAATGAAAAAATATATACGCAAGAGGAAAATTGGCATTACCTTTGCACTGAAGCAAGTCTGATACTACAATTAACCATTAAATATCTCCTTTCTTTTCTTTTAATCTCTAGGACTCTATACGTCTGAACATGGATAATAAGAAGTTTGCAGCTCTGAATGGAACTAATTATCTCTTGATCAATCCTATTTCGATGAGTGATTCAGGATATTATACTTGTGAAATGACCTTTGAGTTTGAAAAGGAACAATATAATATTACCAGAACTATTCAGCTACAAATACTTGGTAAAAGAAACACAAAACCAACCAAAGTGTTTTGAGTGAATGGAGTAGTCACTGTATAACTATTAAATATGATACTAACAGTTGTTTTTAAATGTTAATTTGATTTTTATATAAGTTTTCATCACGGTAAATTTTATAACTTGGGGTAAGCTTTCAAAGTACAGAAGATGGGGATGTAGCTCATTATGAGGGCCAACTTTGCAAGAAAAAAGTCAGTTGTTAGTTCCAAGTAAAATGGTAAAAAGTTCCTTTCTGTGACTCTTAAAAGCTGTGGCCAGGGTAGACAGCACTTATCTAGATGGCACAATGGTTAGCTTTCAAATAATACTATTTGTATTGCAATACTATTTTGGCTTACATATACATGTGTTTTTTATTTCTGCTACTTCCATTGGATGGCTAGGTCATGATATGTAAAAGTTTTGCCACCAGCCTTACTAGTTACTCTCACTTTTTGGATTAGTTTCCTGATGTAAGACCAGAAGAAATTGTACGCCTGTTTATTCATCCAACTTTTTTTCTATGTAATTGCAGATGCACAAAATCTGTTTATCTCTAAGTACAAATAGTTTGCTTGAAAGTGATCTGGCAGAGAATTGTGGAAAAAAAATAAGATGTAAACAGAAACTTCCTTATCTTCAAGTTTCTCAGCATTAGAACTGTCAGATGCCAAAATTAGGAGATTATCCAGTTCAACATTCCAGCTATTTGGTTTCAGATAACTTTCTGAAATAACTTCATCTGAGAACATAAATTCTTAACTGTCAATGGAAGCTAAAACTGGTATCTTTAACAAGGAAATGTAACAAATATCCAATTATAGCTCTTTGAAATAATTCCAGGAATATAGATGTACTTAATGATGCAAAAAATAAATTAAGGCATGATATTTTCTTCAGAAGTAAAAATGGCTCCAGTCCCATACTTTTTTTAAAAAAAGTTTTTAAACTAGCTTTTTTTGATGGATTGAACCATAAACAATATGGGAATGCATTGCCTATAAGGAGCCAAAAGATGGCAGTAATGTCTAAAAACCTTACTAATAAACAGTATGGTTCTCCTCTGTGCCAATGTTAAAATGTTTCCAACTAGCAAGGATCTTCTGTAAAATTCAGAAAAACTTGCAGGGTTTTTACCTCTATCTTTTAGATAGTGAAGACAAGAAATCCACCATGCCACTTAAAAGGCTTAAGGTGAGGTAAAAAGTAGGACTGGAAATGGACTTTACAATGTATGCTATATCCCAGCATGCATCAGTGCTAATTCCTGTGCCAATTATTTCCTTTCAACTGCCCATTCTGGTGCTGGAAACCATCCCATATTCAACCTTTTTTTTTTGTAACTTGAAGAGAAAAAGAATTATTTTGATAATTTTCATTTTCTTGCAAACTATAAGATATGTCATTTTCTCCTCCTACAGCTTAGACAAACTGTGGGCCTACCGGAGTTACAGTCCCCATTTCTCCCACTTTCTAGAGGACCAGATTAATTAATTCTGCTTTGGAACTCACAAAGATGCAATTGTATTCAGTATTTTACTTCTTCTTCACATCACTTGCTGCTCTATGAATTTGTCTACATTCCCGATATGTTAAACAGAGCAAGCAAGCAAGCAACTTTACTTACTAACCTATTTTACTGTTTTAAAAACAGATTGAGTTCATGCAGTTTTCTGTTTAAATGGCCTGAATTGTAAGACCATGATGATTATAGAAATAAAATGAACTGCTGTGGATATTTTGTGCTAACCCCATGTCCTTGGAAATGATCACTGTTTAATTGTAGAAGAGTGCATATTTTGGCAATATTAATAAGCATGTTCAGTTGGATAACCCCCAACTCTTAAAGCACAGGGTATAATATGAAGATAGGCTCAAGCAATATCCACTTTTGTGAACTCTAACATGCCTACATGAACCATGCTTTTCACAGATCCCATCACCTATTGATCTCTGGGTAGTCACAGTGAAATCTCCAGATTTTTGGCCTTGAGGCCCAGCAAGTCTAAAGGACACAAAGGATCAGCTATTGTAGGAAGTCAGGTTCATATTTCTGGAGAACTCCTAGACTGAGTTGGCTATCTTTATTTTATTAATGAATCAAATTTATATAGTGATCCATCTGATAGGAAGTGACTCTGGGTAGTATAAAATAATCCTTGCACTTCAACTCTCTGCCCACAGAAAGCTGCTCCTGCGGATAGCATTACAATGGCTTACTCACAGCCTAGATTATAGTTCAACATATGAACCAGAACCTGCGCCAAATATTGACTTTGAAATTTTTGATTGCTGATTTTCAATTGTATCTAGTTCTTTGGAAAATATCACTGTGTTCTTATAGCAGTTCTTAGAATGCATGCATGTTGTAATGATAATATATTGTTTCAAACATCTAATGATTTTTCCTGGTTTTTCCACTAGAAGAAAAGAAAAATAATATCCCCATTATTGTCAATCCAGATGAAAGGATTACATCAGCAACTCTCGGTAAGGCCAATAATTTATTTAAGAAACTTGTGAACAGTGAAGGCAATGATTAACCTAATCTCGACTGCTTTTCTGATTCTGGCAGTATCAGATTAGAAGCTCAATAATGCTAGTCCATTCTTCATAAACATCTTACAGTAATTGTCAACTCTAGGATACATCTGAAATTACAGCTAATGTTAATTGCTAAATGTCTTAGCTAAATCAATGTTGTCTGGGTGTTAAACAGCCTTAGGCTTTATTAGAAGTTCGATGGGACAATAACAGTGAATGGCTGAGATGTGGGTTTGCTTGATCTGAAGAAGATTTTTCACTGGTTAGCATGGTATCAGTACCAAATTAAAAAAAAAATCCAAAATGTTAACTGAACATATACAGTGCAGCCTTACATCAATGTCCAAAATGTAAATGAGTTAAACTCTTGATGACTTCATGGACACTTCCAGATGTTTCTTAGGAACAATGAAGATGTGATTTACCAATGCAAACTTTCTTGTGAGAAGTTTTTTTTAACATCCTGGTCTTGCACATAGCCTGAGGATTTTGTATGCTCTTCTATTCTAATTACCCATGATAGCCCTGACCATATAGAGATTTCCCCAAAATTTAGTGAGAAGATGCTATCTAGCTGGTTAGGTTCCATGATGGAAGCCACAATTATTTGAAAGCATCCAAGTCAGGTGTTTGATTCTAGGCCCCGGATATTCTTTTCTGGATTCTTTGCAGTCATGGCCAAAGGCTATAACCTTGGGCGAGTTGAGAGAAGAGTTTCTAGCCCTTTTTTTTCTCATGCTGCTTACATGGCAAAGATATACAAACAGTAGCCAAAGAAGCAAACAGTGAAATTCTGCATAGTCCAATATTTTGTGCATAGTTCTGCCCAAAACCATGAATATGTCCAATGACCAGATAGGAAATGAAGAATCTGATTCTGTGACCACAGCATTGGGAGGAAAGTAGAATTTTTGTCCTGGATCTTGCTCCATCAGGGAACTGGAGTGGCCCTGATAGCAAATTGCAACACAGCCTAGCATAACAAGTGCCATGCTTGTACAGAAGGTGGCTAATGTGAGGTTCAGCAACAAGTGCATGAAAGCAAAAAGTCTGGACTTCCTACTGAAAAACATGAGATCTCTGCTCAATCTGGCCTAGTGGATCTCTGTCTCTTCCTTGAAGTATGAGCAGAAATTTAACAACTGGTTTTCAAGAATCAAACCAAGATGGCTAGGTAATAACCCTAATAAAGAATGTCATTTATGAATGAATTGAGTGTATGTCCTAGCAGATTGCTCTGCAGCAGTGGTAGGTTACAACTGGTACGCCCCGGTATGGGCGTACCAGTGCCTGCTGGGAGCACCAGGTACCGTTCCAGTATGGTGCTCCGGAGGGCCCACCTGCTGCATGTGCTCCTTACCGGTATTTGAAGTTTTCGGGGCTTCTGCGCAGGTACATGGAGCGCATGGCGCCTGCACGATGCTCCGCCGAGCAGCTGGATCTGCGCACATTCATGTGGTGAGTCCCCGGCCCTGTTGCACCGTATCGGTTGCAACGGGATCCGGAACCCATTACTGCTCTGCAGGAATAAGACAAAGACATAAAATGTGCTGTAAATTGTTCTTCCTGTGACTATCCATTATCAGGCATTATGATATGCTGGTCAGTATTAGTCACCTTTTATCAAAAAATAGGCTATTTTTGGGAGATTTGCAGAGTGCAAAAACTTTTTTTAAAAATTTCCTCTTTAAAACTTTGCTGCATCTTATACTCTGAAAAATATGGTATTTATTTATTTTTCTTAACTCTGTATTTCATTTCAAAACAGGTTCTCAACTCACCATCCCATGTAGAGTTTTTATTGGAGCAAATAATCATTCTGATGTTGATGTCTGGTGGCTGGCTAACAACAGTTATATACAAAACATGTATCCAGACGAAAGAGTTAAGGAAGGAGAAACTGGGTAAATGTTGTTTTTTATTTTTATTGATTTTAAAATAATAACAAAAAAAACCCAACTATATATACATTGTCAAAAAGAAAGAAAAAATACAGCTGCTTAAAAAAATAAATGAGAAAATTAGAACAGAAAAAAAAATCCATTCATATGTGGCAAGTTTAATCAGGTCTTCAATCCACTAAGTAAATGGAAGCGTACTTTTTATCTTTCCAATGTTGCAAAATCAACCTTTTAGCCATAGTGAGGACATAGAGAATCAAACGTTGTTTAGTTGTCAAATTCCAAGTATGAGTTGGATGATTCTCAATCATCCAGGTCATAGTTGTTCCGAAGGTACTTTTTCCAAGAGGCAACTGGACTTTCTTGTTTTTCTTTGAAGACGTTTCACTTCTCATCCAAGAAGCTTCTTTTGCTGAAGAAGTGTGTCATGATATAATTGCAAACAATGCAAATTATTTAATTGTTGCCTCTTGCACAATGCCACACATGATGCCTTTTGTTGTCTATGTTACACCCACCTCTCCAGCTCCTGAAAACACAGTGAATGAAAAATGTATTTGAACACCTAGAATTGCCAGGTTGTGGACCTGCTTAACTTCAAATATCATTTGTTCCAACTTCACTTGGAATACTGGCATGACATCTAAATGGTGATAACTTGAGAACTTTTCAACGATACATTTTATATGTCATAAATGAGTGCCAATTAAAGTCAAAGTAGACTGATGGATGACAGTAAAATCATTTTCCCACATCTGTGTCTTCCCTTTAATCTAGTTTAATGTGATAGATGAGCTATATAATTTTAGAGCAAAAGAGATATGAACTGGATGCGTGATGAGGTGGTTACATCAATTCTTTTTCAGTTTAAGTGTTCTTATATTAACAGCAGAGGTCAGGTGAGAGGGGAAAAAACCTCAATAGCAGGAATTTTTTTTTAATTTAGATTTTTTTCCCCACAAATGAAAAAAATCATCCTTCAATCAGTTGCCCTTTCCTTCTGAGCTCTTCTGCCTCTCTGCCTAACAATATAAATGATTATATTCCCTCTTAGGCAATTTGTAGAAAACAACAACAGCTCTATTGAGGTGCAATTGATCTTTGATTCCATCACAGAAGCCGATTTCCATACTGAATTCAGATGTGTGGCACAAAACGGCGGTGGGAATCGTGTACAAACAGTGACAGTCACGGAAAAAAAGAAAGGTCTGTATTACAACCTAATTATGCTTATTGCCATCTTCTTCCATTATTATTTTTTTCTGATGACTCTGATAATAGCCATTCATTTTTCTCATTTTGTAAATATGGAAAGAAAGTTAAGGAATAAAGTGGCCAAAGGTCTGGAATAACTTCTGGTCAGGTCATGTGTATATTACATGATTTCTAATAAATTGTTTTACTTTCAAATAATTACTATTTCTCTTGGCATGTTTCCAAAGGAAGAGGCGAGGAAATTATGTACATACAAAATTATCCAGCTTTGCCAAATTTATCTCCAGTGGAGGCATTCAGCCAGTTAGCATCACTTTGGGACAACCAATTGTTAATTTTCTGAACAGATAGGTGAACTGGTTATTGGAAGAAATCATTAGGGCAGAGAACCGGTTGTTAAATTACTGGAATCCTATCACTGGTTACCCTACATTTTGCTTATTGCTGCTAAACAATGAGTTTTTAAAATTCTCTCTCGAATCCATAACATGTAGCTAATAAGCAAAACTTCTCAACCTATTAATCATACAGATCACATGATAAGTTCCCCAATAAATGCCACATCTCTACTAGGGCCATTGAATCTCATTTGGAGGGCTTCTTAGGTGAACTTCTTCACACTAATCACATTGATTTTCATATGAAATCAGACATGGTTCCCATTTTTGTTCTACCTCAAGTTGAAGGGAGGGGGCATTTTACTTCACTGATGTGAAGAAGTAAGCTATGCAAACAGCAATTATATTGACCCAAGTCAAGTATTTGGTACCAGGACAAGGTATGATATACTATTTATGGGTTCTCTCATTTGCTATTGTCAAGCAAAGAATAACTATTATATCTCATGATTGAATATATTAGTTACAACTTAAAATATATACAGTATATTCTATATATGTACATACATACACACACACACAGAAAGAGAGGGAGGGGGGCGCTAACCTTTCCAAGATTTGTGAATAGAAAACTAATGTAAGAATCAGATTACTCTTAGTCAACAGTTTTATTGAATTGAAATAAACAATATTTTTCCCAACCTGGCTTGCTGAGCTTTCTGGAAGCTGCTGAGTGTTCTGTTGGGCAATAGTTTGCTCAATCTGTACACTAAAACATTGTAGAAATTCTACTTCAGTGGAGAGTTTGTAGCAGCAAATGGAATTATCTCTTAATTCCATGTAGAATTGGCTTGGGAACTTCACAACCACGTACGAGTTGGCAGAAGTGCAAGAATGGGGAACATATGAATCTTCAAGTGTTGTTGAACTGTAGCATAAATGTATTCCAATATCACCTGAAAAGTCATAGATTATATTAATTACATTATATCAGTGCAACATGATACCTAAAAATATTATATACCTTCAGAGCAAAGGACAGCACCTAAAGGGTAAAAAGCTTGCAGTTTTCTACACTGTTATCCAGTTACACACTTTTGGAAGCATCTGACTTGTCCTACTTTAAAACTATGCTCTGATTGTATATTCTTACAAAATTTAACCACATTTCTTTTTATTGTCATAAAAATGGCATGTTGTTGTTTTGTAATCCATCTGCTACTGATAAAACTTGTGTTTGTGGGAACCAGGGAGCTTAGAAAAATAATGATTTAACCAATGCATAATATGTTGTCTAACATTAGTTTTTTCTTTCTTTTTTAAAAGACCGCGAGTTGTCTTGGTACTTGGCAGTTACTCCTGTGGCTCTTGCTGTTGTCATCCTAGGAGGAGTGTATTTGAGTAAATACTGGAAACAAAGATCTACCAAGGGTTATGTTGTGGCCAACTCCTAATGAATATAGTTTTATTTCTTATATGCATTTTTATTTTAGCATCCTAAATGATTTTCTTATCTGTCCTAACATAGCTAGAATCTTTTCGGTTGTAAACAGAAATGAAGTTGCTGTTTTGATGCTTGTTAAAGGAAATCTAAAGCAAGTTTCTGTAATAGCAAAAATATAATAATTGTATTTTTGTAATGTTATTTGTAATTTTACCACTGAAACCTGATACATAAAAGTAACTTTAATAGGAGTAAACATGAATCAGCTACTACCTTATTTAGGTTTTATATTGGGGGGGGGGTATGTGTGCATATTTTATAAATTGTATTGCATTTTTTTTTTAAAAAATGATTAAATTTAACACAAAGAGACATGGCAGGGAAGAGAGAGAGAGACTATAAAAAAACATATTTCTTAAAAAAAACCCTAAAAGAAATTAATCTTTCAAAGAAAAAAAGTTATGCAAGTTATATGTTAAATATGTCTGATTTTTTGGAATTTTGGAAGCCAGTAAGATATTAAAGCTGAACAGGGAATATAGCAAATGTAGTTAATTGTATTATAATTACAATTGTATACATTTGATGTCATATAATAAATTATATTTCTTTTCCAATTTTACTGCTTTTATTGTTTACTATTTATTAACTGATTAAGAGTAATTATGAATTCTACTATCTAATTTTAATGTTCTACAATATATCATCAGCATCAGAAACTTGATTTATTTACACTATAACAAATTCTTTTGCTGCATCTGATGTTGCCCAACTGGCTGATCCATATTATATGCACAGAGAACTCACATCTTCTGAAAGTGTCTTATGAAATGAAGTATCCTTTAATTAAACCAAATTATCATCCCTGAGATCAGTTGAGCCTACACCATAGTAATAATAGCATCAATATTTTTGGACTTATCTGCAGAATGCAAGTCACCAGACCCTTCTTAAAATTACCCAGACCATATTAGAGAAAGCTAGGGCAGAAGATGTTTTGTGAAAATTCTACAGGCATCTGGAGGAAAGCATTTCCAGGATCCAGAGCTAGGTACTTGTTGAGCAAGTCCTGATGAACTGACAGGCAAACAACAAGATAGGATAGTCACTGTGTCTTGTTCATCTCTTGCTTGGATATGGCAATGTGTTCTCCCTGGAGATGCCTTTGAAGAGCAGTCAGAAAAGATGGGGACTACAGCCAACCAAGCTATGGCAAATATAGATAGCATACTCACCCTGCCAACAAAAGTGTGTATAGTGAAGGCTATGGTTTTCCCAGTTGCAATGTATGGCTGTGAAATTTGGATCATAAGAAAGACTCAGCCAAAAAATTGAGACCTTTGAACTATGGTGCTGGAGAAGACTCCTGCAAGTCCCTTGGACTGCAAGGCGATCAAACTGGACAGAGGAGATCAACCCTGACTGCTTTTCAGAAGGCCGGATCCTGAAGATTAAACTCAAATACTTTGGCCATCTAATGAGAAGGAAGGACTCACTGGAGAAGAGCCTAATGCTGGGAAAGATAGAGGGCAAAAGAAGAAGGTGATGACAGAGAATGAGGTGGCTGAATGGAGTCACTGAAGCAGTTGGTGTGAGCTTAAATAGACTCTGGAGGATGGTAGAGGACAGGAAAGCCTGGAGGAACATTGTCCATGGGGTCACGATGGGTCGGACACAACTTTGCAATTAACAATAACAACAGAAAAGATAGCTGATCCAGAATTCAGCAACTTGAATAGTCATAGATACATCTTACTCGCCCATACAGCATTACTATTTCAAGAGCTGCAGTGGCTGCCAGTTGACTTTCGAGTACAAAGTGCTGGTTGTCTCTTTTAAAGCCTTGCACAGCTCAGGGCCTGGGATCTTGTATCCCTAGACTCATCTAGAGGTCCAGTTTTATCTGTCAATCCACTAAGATCTGGCACAGCAGATTCTTTCCATATCCTTGCTTCAAATAATAAAAAAATCACAGAAGTTGAGCCTTCCAAATTGTTGTAGAATAGTATTTTTCTAGAATTCTGAATCTCTCTGGCTGAGTTTGTAGAAAGTTCACTGAAACCTGGCTGTTCCATCAGACTTTTCAAGTGGGATGTTTTAATGGTTTTTTTTCCTGCTGACATTGAAATATTTGTTATACCTACTGTATATAATGTAACAATCTCCTGGTGTCTATATGAGTAGATATTCTTTGTTGGTAATTGTGAGGGTCTGCAAATCCAATGAAAGCAAGCAACTAATTATGTTTTTGTTTTAAAAAAGAAAAAGTGTTTTAAAACTAGTCATTTGTGTTTTCAAGCATCATTTATTGATGTCATAATGACCCAACTATGTTTATCTAATTGCTTCATTTATAAACTATTTATACTATGACTGTGCATTTATACACTGGCATTACTAATTATAATTAATCATATAGATAAATGCTATTGTGTTTGTCTTTTTTGTTTTACAATGGATGTTGATAGCCAGAGAATGGAAAACAAATGTTGTGTTGAATGATTTGCTTTTTGGGAAGAAGTCTGGAAAGGAAGCAAAATATTATTTTCCAGAAGTGATTTGACCTAGCAACCATATATAGCAGTAAGCAATGTGATTACTATTTTATCAGCTGTCATACTTTCAAAGTTTCCCACATTAAATAATTCAGTTCTTGTAAAACCAAGAAATCTGTTTCTTTTATTCATTAAATTTGGATATGACTATTTTATGAGACATGCATTAGTCATGTTTGGATTTTCTTTACACAGAACCTAACTATTCCAAATACAGCTTCATTATCTTATTGATTACAACAATTTGCAGAAGACTCTTATACAAAGTACATTAAAAACTCAGTCCCTAAATTTGGAGCTATTTTTTTGCAATGTTCACACTAGAAACATGTTTATCACCTTCTCATAAATCTTTACTTGTTGGCTATAAATAAATAGCCATCACAGATGAAACTCATAGTTAAAAGTTGTTCAATTGTAGTTAAATCTAATAAATAGCTTTTTGAGTAAGATTTAATCACATGATTGAAACGAATAAATAAAATAACATTTAAAGTTTATTATTGGAATGAAAAATAACATTGAAAGTCTGTTTATCCATTTTCACATGGCATGTTGCACATGTAATTGAAGTTAAGCCCTTGTAGAAAAATGATTGTATATTCCTTCTCAAAGGCTTCTTCATATATGGGCTAATGGAAATTAGAGGACATAAAGCTGGAAAGGCTTTAAAGCTGTTGTAGAAGTGCTATTTCAGAATATCAGTACATCCATACAGAATTGAGTATGCAACATCTGTGCATTATCAAAAAATTATGCCAATTATAATAGCTACACAAGTTCTATTAGTCCTTATATGAAGCATCAGCCATCAAAATGGTCCTGTATATAAATGATTCTTTGGTTTAATTCTGTTGATGGGGTTTTTGGTTTCTACTATGGTGTAAGAAGTGTGATGTAACAGAAGTGTTAATGCATCTACATAATTAGTTGTTAGATCTTTAACTGTGAGGCAAGATATTTCAGTACTGTATATTATGTTATTAGTGACAAAGTATGACCTCTTCATGGCAAAATTGGCCATGGATGCCATCCAAAAAAGTCTTGGACAGCACAGAAAAACCATGCATTGACAAACTTTCCATCTGTCACTTGTAAAAGGCCACACTGGGTTCCTGCCAGTTCTAACCTCGTCTATAGAAGAGGTTCCACAAATCTACAGTGCCGTTTAGAACCAGTTCCAGCTCCCTCNAGGAGTAAACATGAATCAGCTACTACCTTATTTAGGTTTTATATTGGGGGGGGGGTATGTGTGCATATTTTATAAATTGTATTGCATTTTTTTTTTAAAAAATGATTAAATTTAACACAAAGAGACATGGCAGGGAAGAGAGAGAGAGACTATAAAAAAACATATTTCTTAAAAAAAACCCTAAAAGAAATTAATCTTTCAAAGAAAAAAAGTTATGCAAGTTATATGTTAAATATGTCTGATTTTTTGGAATTTTGGAAGCCAGTAAGATATTAAAGCTGAACAGGGAATATAGCAAATGTAGTTAATTGTATTATAATTACAATTGTATACATTTGATGTCATATAATAAATTATATTTCTTTTCCAATTTTACTGCTTTTATTGTTTACTATTTATTAACTGATTAAGAGTAATTATGAATTCTACTATCTAATTTTAATGTTCTACAATATATCATCAGCATCAGAAACTTGATTTATTTACACTATAACAAATTCTTTTGCTGCATCTGATGTTGCCCAACTGGCTGATCCATATTATATGCACAGAGAACTCACATCTTCTGAAAGTGTCTTATGAAATGAAGTATCCTTTAATTAAACCAAATTATCATCCCTGAGATCAGTTGAGCCTACACCATAGTAATAATAGCATCAATATTTTTGGACTTATCTGCAGAATGCAAGTCACCAGACCCTTCTTAAAATTACCCAGACCATATTAGAGAAAGCTAGGGCAGAAGATGTTTTGTGAAAATTCTACAGGCATCTGGAGGAAAGCATTTCCAGGATCCAGAGCTAGGTACTTGTTGAGCAAGTCCTGATGAACTGACAGGCAAACAACAAGATAGGATAGTCACTGTGTCTTGTTCATCTCTTGCTTGGATATGGCAATGTGTTCTCCCTGGAGATGCCTTTGAAGAGCAGTCAGAAAAGATGGGGACTACAGCCAACCAAGCTATGGCAAATATAGATAGCATACTCACCCTGCCAACAAAAGTGTGTATAGT